TGGGATGGTTCTTTCCTGCCCTATACGGACGAATGGACTTGACAGCGTAGATTTGCGTTGGGTGTGATTCTCGGTACATATCTGTATTTAAGGAAAAACTGAATAAACTGACATGCTGAATATAAAGTAGATAATTTAAAGCAACAATTTGAAATATTCATTTTGAATACAGCTTCCAACAACTAGAACATTTTTTGAATAATGTTACTTTTTTCTGTTTAATTTTCTGCTTTGCTAAAAAATTTTTGTTTTTTGCGCTTATTATCCATGTAGTTTATGCAAAAGCATAATTAAATAGCCCTTAGATCATTGAGGGTAATCTGGTTTCTTAGGATCTTTCTTAGAGTCATAATTTTGGATTCTTCAGTTTTATACCAGTGTTCGTCTAGTCATTTGGCAAACCCTCCTGATCTTGCTTCATATTGCCTGTTGCAATGTAGTCTTTTTGAGTTTTTGCCATCACATTTTGCCATGTCTTTCAGTACCTATCAGATGATGGCAATAGCTTCCTATCTTCTGTGCCCTACCCAACCAATTCTTTCTACATTTTGCTGTTAATTTTTCTCAGGCTCATTTCTAATTATGTTACTTCCTGTGTTGGAGTTTTCAGTCTGGCATGTAAGCCTTTTACCTTATGGTACCATTTTAACTTTCTAGATCAGTTTCTCACTTGTGTACTGCTTTCCTTCCAAAGAGAGCAATTTGCTGTTCCCAGAATATACTATAGTGGCTCTCCTAAACAATGCTTTTTTTGTGCTATTCTTGGATCTGACATAATCCCTTTGTTCTTAAATCTCTTAATAATTTTACTCTTTTAAATTACCACATTCTGCTTTCTCTTATAGACATTGCCATACTTTTAAAATTCCTTTATTCCAGATTTTAAGCTTTTGAGGATAATGGCTGTTTTATGTAATTCAAAGTATCTGCCATGATGCCACCTACATTGTAAGAATCCAAATTTTAATTAAATTGCAAGGCTTACTTAATTTTATAATGAAAAATTTTATAAAACTAAAAGTACATTGACTTTGGAAAGTGGCTTTGAAATTATTTTGTGGAATAAAACTCTCATAAAGTGGAGCTTTCTTATGTTGTTGTTATGTGCAGTTGAGTCGGCCCCAACTCATAGCAACCCCTCCTTGGGTTTCCGAGGCAATATCACTACAGAAGTAGATTGCCCAAGTTTCCTACCGAGGAGTGGCTGGTGGGTTTGAACCACCAGCCTCTGATTAGCAGTCAACTACCTTAGGCATTGTGTTCCCAGAGCTCTTTTATAATTTTAGGTTTTCACCTTTAAATCTAATCTCAGTTAAATAAAGAGTTGATTTTTAATGTCCAGAGAGATGAGAATTTGTTATAATTTTATTTGAGAGATGAAAAAATAGACTACATACTTAAAAATGGAAACCTGTAGTAAGAAGTACAGAATTATTATGAATGGCATTTTATTAAAAAGCTTAATTGTAAATTCAGTTTTCTTAATAGGTTTGAAGATGCATTGGATAGTAGTTAGTAGAATAATTAATTCCCTTTCATTAGCAAACAAAACGTAAAGTGAACAAAAATTTCCACACCATGTTGAGCTCATGTTTAAGTAGTTTTTAAAATAAAAGTTCTTATTTCTGTTCTTTTGAAGAACTGACCCAATTAACTATAATAGAAAATATGTATATGTGTGTGTGTGTGTGTGTGTAGTGACAGGAGTAGAAAAATATTGAACTATTTTTGGAAGGATCCCAAGGAGTTTATTGGAAGAATCAAGGAGTTTATTGCTGCCTTTGTGGCTTTTGTATTCTTAATTTTCATTTTATCAGGTAAAATGAGCAGTTATGCTTTTTTCCCTGGTAAAAGTTCTTTGAACTTTTTTCTGGTAAAATAAAGTGAAAATATTGACAAACGGCATAAAGGCTATCATGATAAAAATAAAAATAACTCACCTTTTCATAGAACTATTAACATATAATAAAAAATAAAAATTGTTTAAGCTTCTCATTCTCTGTTTTAAACAAAGCAGTAATTGCAAATATTTGTGACTTATTTTAAAAAACAGTTTTTAACACACAAATATTATCTGGTTTATATACTATGTACTATTTAATATATTAAAAAGCTTTCCAAAGTTTTCTGTGAGGTATGAATTTTCTTGTAAATCAATAAATGCATCCATATGCCTGAAAGATCATTCCCCGTTGCCTGTTGAGTTAGTCAATTACAACTCATAATGACCCTATAGAACAGATTAGAACTTCCGCATAGGGTTTCTAAGGGTGTAATATAATTTTTACAGAAGCAGACTGCCACATCTTTCTCCTTAAGGAACCTCTGGTGTTTTCAAACCACTGACCTTTTGGGTAACAGCAGAGTGCTCTAACCATTGGGAAATCAGGCCTCCTTGAAAGATCATAGGTGGGTGAAATGCTTGTTCATTGTCTGTTCCAATGTCAGATGTAAACAGTTAATGGTTTAGAGAGCAATAATATCATAATTGCCATTTGTATCTTTTGTTAGATTTCTTATGGAGTGCATGAAAGCAGTTAAGTAAATATGTTAGTGATCTGTGGTTTTAAACTGAGTTCTTTGGCATGCTTATAGACTTATAGCTTATATAGGTATATTTACAACATATTCAAAGACTTTTTAAATTAATATAACTGAAAATTCTAATTTTTATTAAGATTATATAAAACTAATATGAAAATTTTAAATTTTATGGTTGGGGATCCAAGTTTAAAATTGCCTTTTAAAAATTTTAATGTGTGTGATTCTCAGTACATATCTGTATTTAATGGAAAAACTGAATAAACTGACGTGCTGAATATAAAGTACATAATTTAAAGCAACAATTTGAAATATTCATTTTGAATACAGCTTCCAACAACTAGAACATTTTTTGAATAATGTTATTTTTTTCTGTTTAATTAAATTTTCTGCTTTGCTAAAAATTTTTTGTTTTTGTGCTTATTATCCATGTTGTTTATGCAAAAGCATAAACATTAATACTCTATGTCAAATATATTTGTCGAATAAAATTTTTCTTAATATTTTTATTTATGAAGTCTTAATGTCTCTTCAGAGTTTCGAAAAATAAGTTTTGCTTGCTTATGCTACATTTTGTCGAATTGAAACATTTCCTTAATTCTATAGAACAGTAGAAAACAAGGCAGAAGAAAATTGAGTTTTGCCAAGAGTTAAGATTATTGTTAACACTGTCAGAAATCAATCACTACTTAATTTGCTTAGTATCCTCAGTGGATTCAGGCTATTGAATCCTGCTGACTTCCAGAAGGATTTAGGGTATTCAGTAAATGAGACGGGATGAATCTCATTCATTTGCATTAATGCTATATATATATTGGGTTGTTTGACATTAAATTTTTTCATTTAAAACTGACTGCTACTTGGTTTAGTGAAAGCAGAATTAAAAAATAGAATAGAAACTAGTCAGGGTAACTAATTTTAAGTTATCAAGTATTTACTCATTTTGAACAATTTATTGCCATGAAACAGTGATATTTATACTCCTTGATAGGTTATTAAAGTATAGCATTTGGAAAATACCTGTTTGATAGGAGATTCTCAATCCTGAGTATCTATAGGTAAGGTGAGTAATTCATAGTTTTCCATTGATTTGAGGATTGAAGAGAAAATGTTTAAAGTGTTGTAGAATAGAAAAAGTGACAAGATTAATTTTCAAAGTGGAAATTGATTTTCAGAGTGGAAATAGATCTACTGTATTCTGAAATGCTTTAGAGTTGGGATAGTGTAGAAACACTGTATCACTGTAAGGAGCTCTGGTAGTGTAGTACCTATGGCACTTGAATGCTAACCACAAAGCTTGTGATTCAAACCCACCAGCCACTCCTCGGAAGGAGGTTAAGCAATCTACTTCCGTAGTGATACTGCCTCGGAAACCCAAGGAGGGGTCGCTATGAGTCTGGTCAACTGGATGGCAAATAAGAACAACGAAGTTGCTGTATATCTACAATTAGAACCAGTTGGCTTTGTTAAGTTATTTATTTTTTTTCAATGGTACAGTCTTTTTGTTTGCTTGTTTGTTTTATCCTTCCTGGCATTCAAACATACATAGCTATCTTCTATTTTACAAAAAGGCTGAGGTGGGTAAAGTTAGGAAATGTGTTCATTTTAATGCATCAGCTTTTATCAGAGTACTGGGGTAACCCAGAGCATCTGGCTGAGACTGAGACAAAGTGAGGAAGGGAGGGACTTGTTTGCTTTCGTTTTCTTCCTTCTCTTTATTGTTGGTTTATTTGCATATTACAGGCATAATGCCCTTGATCTGAGAAAATCAAACTATTTTTCATAGCCAACTTGAATTTTAAATTTTCCTTCTTTGGTGTACATTAACAGGATTGTTTATTATCTGCTCATGAATCTTAGAAATCTGAGAAATCCTACAGCTTTCTACATTCAAAAAAGTTTGCATCATACGTAGTTAATTATTTTTGATGTGTCAAATATTATAGCAAGTAGATTCTATCAGAAAACATTATATAGAAGTGCAGAAAATATTGGATTGTTTTAATTGCTTTGAGTCTATAATTTTTGTTTTTATATTAAAATGCAGTTTCAGTTATCATAATATAAATATACCTATCATTTGTATCTTAGAAAGAAGGCATTTTATAAAGAAAAAAAAAATCAAGGATACCTGTGTCAGTTACATTTTAAAGTTGTACACTGTTTTAAGGCTATGTATTTATTCTGTAGAAAATATGACTTACATTAATATCTTTTGATGGACATAATGTTGACAAAATATACACATGATGTTACTTCAACAAACTGCCATGCAACAAATACATTAAGTAATGAATAAATTGAATATATATGACCTAATCTAATTGACATTTACATTGAAAATTTACAACATAACCAATACTTAAAAATTTTATTCTTTTATTTGGCAGTAATTTTATTTTCACAATTTTAATTTAAAACTCATCTGAATGTGATTTTGGTGAAACTTAGAATTTGCTCTAGTCTGTGACAACCTGAGGTACCAAACATTTCTCTCTGATCTCACTATCTTCGAAGGTAATTTTTTTGTTTCTTTTGGGATCTATCCATGAGTTATGTATTACAGCATTATTGGGCAGGGGATCGGCTTCCACTATAGAAACAACTCGCTTTTTCATTTTACTTTTCAAGACCTTCTGAAATTTTTGTCTAGTGAATGCATATAACAGAGGGTGAAATATAGTTGTTCCATAAGCCATGACTAGAAAACATAATCTTAATTTTACCAAAAGGTCACTTGGGCCTAAACATAAAATGGTGGTATTTAAAACAGAAATTGGTGTCCAGCAGAGAAGAAATGTAGAAATAATCAGTAAAGACATTCTGAAGACTCTTTTTTGTCTTTCTCGTCGTTCACGGTGTCGTTTCACAGCTCGCCGGAGAGCAATTATTACAGAAACTGAAGTTCTTACACCAAAGACTACATTTCTCCCACCACTGCTTTGTGACATGTCTGTAGTCTCATGTTGCGTGGTTAGAGAAATTGTCTTTTTCTTTCTTGCTTTCTTCTTCTGCCCTGTTGAAAATCGTGTGCCTATTCGAATATTAAGAGCCTGAAGGATTTTGGTGTACGTGATTAACATTACTATGACAGTGAAGAAGAATATTGGGATCTGTACTAGCAGGTGGTAATACATTCCCAGTTCAGTGTAGTATTCATTTGTACTGACACATAAAAGTGTCTTGTTTTCCCACATATTTCCACTTTGAAGACTGAAAAAATTTACCTCAATAAAGGGAATCAGGAAGGAGAAAAAGGAAAAAATCCATATGGATGTCATTAACATTACAGCTCTGCCCATTGTCAGAATTCGGTTTGCAGGCTTCACAGAGATGTCATATCTGTCTAGAGTGATAGCAAAAACGTTGATTGCTGTAGAGACACTTGCAAAAGATACACAAGCCTCATGGAAACAGCAGATGAGAGCAGTGTTACTCTCCAGTGAAAGCAAAAGGATAACTATGGTTAGAGGAATACATCCCACGCAAATTATTACATCAAGTACATGAAGATTCATTGTAATAATGTTACTGACCGAGTTGATTAAGTTGGATTTCATGCAGTAAAGTACCAGTACGGTGAGGTTGCTGCCAAGTCCCAACACAATTTCTAACATAAGAAATCCAGTGAGAGACACTTGAAAGCTTAATGGATATGACAGTGGTTGGTACATGTTGGTGTTGATGTCATCAGTGCCATCTCGCACTGTAATGTTAGATTCAGACTGCATGTTGACTTCCAGAATGGGAGAAAAACACATTCTTTTGGAGCAGTTGGTGTTTTTCCTAGAAAGTGAAATAGAATAAACTATTTATATTTGGCAATTTAAATGACTTGTACAAAACATGTGTTCTTTGTAAAATCTTTTTTATTGTGCACCTAACAACCGGTTTAATTTTTAAGTCTGCAACTATTAATGGAAAATGTAAAATTAAGGAACTTCAAGATTGTATTGTTTTGATGTAAAAGGAAATTGGGTTTTATCTTTGAAGAAATATCTGGGTGGGAATTATTCCCATGTAATGCAAAATTATTTAGCATACTAAAAAGAATTTCCTTATTTGGGTTCTTCAAGCTTATCATTTGAGGTAATGTATTTTTGTATAATAAAACTACTCAGCATGCAAAAGTAATTTTAACCCAAGTGTTTTAAAATTTCATTTTAAACTGTTGTGAGTAGGTGGGAAATAAATGCTATTTTAATATGTTCTAGCATAATTAGTGTAGGTGTAATTATTCCTGTGAGATTTCAAATGAACAGGACAAATGTTCATTTAAACTGATTAATATACAGAGCATAGTTGGTTTTAAACTATTTGACCCATTTTCTTCATTGAAATATGTATTCAGAATTCAACAACATGCTTGGGGGATATTTGGAGTTATCTCCCACAGAAATGGGCAAATGATAACTATTTCACGTATGATGGTGAAAATGCCATTGAATTTTATACTTGGAAAATTTATCTTATAAAAATTAGAAGAAAAGGAAATTATGTTAAAGTAAAAAGAGGTCACAATGCTTGGAAAAACAACAGTAATCACTCTTATGAATGATTTTGTGACCACACCCTCTTGTATTTTGTGGAAGGAGAATTGAAATTTAAAATCGTATTGAGGGAAAAGGAGTATCTGAAGCCC